ATCATGCGGAATTACTTTTCACGTGTAAGTTTATGGTTTTTGTATTGATAATATCGTAAATAAGGCTATAATTGAAATAAAACACTGATAATTGTAATTTAGAATCAGTGTTACCATTAAAAAATCATTTTGGTTTTCCCACATTAGTGGGAGAATTTATAATTTCTGAAATAATATGCTTTATACTGTTTTTAAACATTTTGCCAATAATAATAAAATATAGGAAGAACGGTAGTTGTTAGGGCTGGACCGATCACTTTTTTTAGGACCCGTTGAACCTTCTGCCAAGCTCGCAGTGCTGGAGACTTTTGTACAAAAGAATTAATTCATTGTTTTTCTTAATTTATTATCAATTTTAAATAATAATTGTACAAAATAATAATAATAATAATAAAAATGTTTATCATAAAAATAAAAAATAAAAATATAAAATAAAAAAGTAAATAAACATAAATAAAAAAAATTATAAATAAAAAATAAAAAATAAATTATTATTTTTATTTGTTTTTTAAATTATAATAGAATTTGCAATACACCCTGGGGATTATTTATTATCAGTACAAGTTGATCATTCCTTTTATTATTAAATGCTATTATTTTTACGAATAATATAAAATAACGATTGTATCATGAAAGTAAAATATCCACACAAACTTATAAAAAAGAGTCTAAAAGACAATTGTATGCAAAACTGTATGCTTCACAGCGCAGTTTGATTTTTACACTGAATATAAACCCTTTTAACCAAATATTTCCAGTTATTTTTATTATTTATACCTATTCTATTCAATTCGAAATATATTATAGAAGAATATATAGAATATTTAAATTGATTTATTTTATTACAAAATTGTTTTAAAAAAAATTGTTTCTTAGTGTTATGGGTAAAATTTCATACGGTAGTCAACACTGGCCCACCATCGTAAAGTTATATCTTTGTCTTTGTCTAATCCGAGCGATGGTATTGTTCTTGTCTCGCGTGTAAATGAGACATAAATATGTTTACTTTCAAATGTTTCGTGGTATCAAAGCTACGTCGTCAAAGTTCAAAAGTGGTTACACTTTTTTCGACGTGTGATAATGAGGTTTGCTTCTCTAGTGTTGTTTTTAACTCAATGTTGCTAACGCACTGCATGTTTCGACAAGTTCATTTCGTGGATATCGTATTACGTTAAGTACAGTTTATTGTGCTCTCTTAGTTTTGATCTGTTTGTAAGTGTGATAGTGTGAAATTTAACAAATAAACAATTAAATAATTACGAACGTACTTTAATAATAAAAAAATCGATTATGGCCTTTAAAAAAAAATTCGCCTATATGGGCATACTTCGAGGATGATGTAAATGATCCAAAAAGTGCCGTGTGTAAACTGTGCGAAATAAAAATTTCACGTGGTGGCGTTGGAAGAAATGCGACAACATCGGGAATGTTAAACCATTTAAAAAATAAACACAATGAAGAATATTATAAGTTGGTACCCACGTTCCCTAAGGGCAAGAACTACAATCAAGATACGAATGTAAGTAATAAACCTTCAACAATTAACTCTTGAAAAATGTGCAGAAATTAATAAACTATGGGATATTAATGACCCCAAGGCAAAAAAGTACCATGTGTTAATTGCTGAAATGATCGCACTTGATAATGAGGCAGTAAATATAGTAGAAAGGGCTGGTTTTAGAAGACTGATTAATAGCGCTTTGCCGCGGTACAATATACCAAGTCGTCCTTACTTTTCAGACAATGTGATTCCAGAAATTTACACACAAAATATTTGTACAGACAAAATATTTGTCGGCGCCAGGAAGTAGTGTTTATTCAGAGCGCCTTTTCTCTGAAGTTGGGACGGGTCCTACGAGAAAAAAATAAGTAAACTACTTCCTAAAAATGCAGAAAAGTTTGTCTTTCTGCACCATAACCTTCCCCTTCTAAATTTTGATAATGAAAATAATTCAAATGCATAGAAAAATTCTTAACTTGTTTAATACAGAAAATGATTAAATTATGTAACTGTTTTATGTACCAATGACTACTTAATAAATGATTATAAAAGAAATGAGAAACCTTACCCTTCTAAAATTTTGATTACCACAATAATTCAAATACATAGAATCCTCCATTTTTCCAATTCAGAAGATGATTATGTACCTGCGTTATGCACCAATGACTACTTAAATGATTATAACAGAAATGAAAATATGTATATATACGCAATCAATCGATTTTAATTTTTCATTTTACCATTATTTCTCTATGACAAAATATATTATTTAAGTATTCGGTATTCGGCCGAATAATATGTAGATATTCGGTATTCGCCGAATATAATAAAAGAAGCCGAATAGGCCGAATACCGAATAGTAACCGAATATTCGTTGCAAGTCTAGTAAAAAGTGATCTACCCAAATCAGATTGTCGCCTTGAAACGAGCCGGTCACTCTAATTTTGTCGATAGTTACCGTCCAACATAATAACATCCGGCACTCGACGGCCGGGATAGCGTGCTATGTATTCATAAACGAGCCCGTGCGTGAGAAATCAGTAAGAAATCAAAATATGAACATGTTCCTCGCTCGTATAGGTCATCATCTCAAACAGTATCAGAAGTACAAATCAAAGCCACTTAGCAATAATTAGTCACGAATAGAAAACGAAACAGTCCAAAAATATGGTCGATGATACTTTGGTCACAGCCCGGGAGGCCGAACTTCAGGAGGCACGCCTCTGGCGTCCTCAGAGGATATTGGCGGTTAGAGCCATTCGCGGTTACCGCACCGTTTCGAAGGAGGCAGCTTGCGCTTTGGCCGGTACTCCCCCATGGGATTTGGAGGCGGAAGTGCTCGCCGAAGTATGTCGGCGGACGGGTGAGTTCCGGGCGGATAGTGGCTGTCGGCCCCCGCCCGAAGAGGTACGCGAGTGGCGTTAAGCCCGCTCGCCGAGCCACGATGGTTCGTTGGTCGTCCCGGCTGGCTTTGCCGCCGTGGATGCGCTCCAGCCGGTTATCGTCGAGTGGGCAGGGCGGCAGCATGGGACCATTTCCTTCCGACTGACGCAGGTCCGTTCCGGGCGCGGCTGCTGAAGTACTTGCACTTGGTGGCTAGGAGGGAATTGAGTCCCGCCTGTCACCACTGCGATTGCAGTGTGGACTCGGCGCAGCACACGCTGGCAATTTGCCAGGCTTGGGCGTCGCAGCGCTTGGTCCTTATTGCAGTCATTAGAGGGGACCGAGTCGGAGGGGGCCCTCGTATGCTCCATGGCCGGTAGTGACAGATGTTTTTACCGCGGTCGCGTCGGAGGCGGTGGAGAGAGCCCGGGAGGACAACCTCCACTCGGACCCAATTCGTCGTGGGCGAACCAGGCGGCGAAGGCGCGCTTACCACCGCCTCCATGCCGCCCTGAGTGTGGCGACATAAGGCGGCGGACGGGACGTTGTTTCCCCTCCAGCCGCCATAACGGCCAGCCGCGAGGAGGCGATGTCCGCGTGTGCCGGACGACGCCTAAATAGAGAATGATCCCGAAGGTGGTGCCAGCGCCGTTGAGGGCTGGCGCTGGGGAGGGGTCCGGATGTCTTAAGTAGTTTCCGGATTCCCCCTATTACAGGCGCAGAGTGTCACAACATGGTTTTAGTCAGTGCGATTCCGCCCCGCCGCAAGCCCCGCTGGGGTGACGGCCCGAGGGGGTTGCCACACGTAAAAAAAAAATGGGATATGGTATTTCATAGTGAAATCTATCAGAAATGATGCCAACTACAAGTCCTTAAAGTATCTAGGTCGACTTACCCAATAACCATGATACATATCAATTTTGGTATAAGTAAAAGTATACCTGTTGCTGTATTTATTTTTATATCCGAGTGACGTTACTGGAGCCCAAAACCCCTTTCTCCTAAATTTTGGGGCGGAGGGGGCACGGAACTCAAAGGGCGGCAATGCTTTATTTACTCCTGAGTTGCAGGGATCCATGGGTTGCGGTAGCCACCTACCATCAGGTGACGCGTCTGATCGTTTATCGCTATATACCTTTAAAATCATTATATATATATTTTTTTTTAATATTTATAATTGTCATGCCATGGCACATATTAGTTTAAATGTAGGTAGTGTAGTTACTTGTGCGGGGGCTGGGGTTGAAACGAGTCTCACCTAGTCTTACTTTAGGGAGAAGGGGGCTCTCGGCATATAATCACGTAATTTTTTATCCGCAAGAAACAGTAAAATTGCGAGAAAACTGGGTTGGATTAAGTAAAACATGTTTTTCCACTGAAATATGTCGAAGTCTTATACAATAATTAAATATTTATCATGGTATTGCGAGTGCCGCGAACTTGCATAGTAGCCCGTCCTTTGTTTACGCGGCTCCGCCAGCCTTTACAACGCCTTTACACTATAAAACACATTTTTAAAATCTCACGTGAGAATTGGGTATAGGCGAGGAGGGTGAATCAAATCTCTAACTACGGGGAGACGAGGGGGGGGGGGGGGGGGGCCAGGTCAGGAAAATGCCGAAAACCCCTCAAGTAATGAATGTTCGCCCCCTACATCTTTGTTTTAGTTCTGCCTACTATCCTAATGCACGTTGTTAGCAGGAGGGATACGAATTAATTTGCTCTTTGTCGTGTTGTCGAGTACTTGTCAACATTATACTGGCAACTACAATTGGCTAATGGACGATGTCTGTATAACTTTACATTTATAAATAGACTAGTTTTTGTCCGTTTATTGTTTTATTCTGCACCAGCTTTTTTTCTTTCTTTTAACCTTAAATATTATATTTAACTGTAAATTGTAATGGTAATAAAATTAACTCTCAATACAAAGTGTCTATGTATTAAAATAACAATTAAACTTGTAGCTACGCAGACATCGCTAAAAGCATGAAGCAAGAAGGCGCTGAAGCGGATACCGTGAGTGAAGCCAAGGTGAATAGAACGGAGATAAAGGAAGCTCCGTCCGATGATGCAATGGTGTCAATGTCTCCTTCTTATATGTCGGAGGCAAGCGATGCCTTTCGCCACTTCGTATCAGCTGTCGCAAGTTAGTGATCAGGTAATATTAAAAAAATATATACATATTATTATATGTCTATGTTTTTTTATATGTTTAATAATGATCCATTTACTACCTTACCTACCAAGGGCATTAATATAATAAAAACATGCATCTTTTACGTTGTTGATGTTCGTCGAAGACATCAAAACATTATGTTTTGATGTCTCGTTGTATGTTTGTTTGTTTGTATCGTCGTATGTTTTAAACATAGAGCTATAGATAAAGGAATCTATGTACTAACTTATTAGCCTTTGCCTGTCCGTGTGATAAGTAGCACAGAGCGATAGAACACTTATTTAACTGGATTTGAAAACACGTGTTAAAACGGCTTATTTTTCTAAATAGTAATAATAGTAGGGGTCTAGTGTTTAGTGTGTTGTACTAAGCCAAGGGTGTTGGTTCGAGTCCCACCCAAGACAAGTAATTGTGTGACGAGCTCGATTGTTTGGGTGTTTATTTTTATCTAAAACTAGCAAAGCAAAGCTTGGCAGGCTTTGCTGTGGTACATGGTGGTTGTATTGATGAGAAACGACAGAGAAAAATAATCTGTAAAGCGGATTGTATATTGCTTTAGCTCAATTGAAATTTGAGTTCAATCGGTGCAGAGCTTTTCAAGTTTTTGAACACAAACTAACTTGACATTTATATATGTGGGTCACACTGAAAGCTTTTAGAATAGATCAGTAAGAAAAGTAGCCGATGTTAAATTTGTTTAAATTTCGAATTAGGAACTATTTGGAAATCTGTAGATGTTTATTGATTTCATAAAATAAATGGTTTTAACCAATTGGCGGTAATTTAAAAACTGTCTGTCGTGCATCGAAATGGATTTGACTTGAGAAAATGAAGGGCGAAAATAGCTTTTTTTCGAGATAAAAGCGTGTTATCTCGTAAAGTTTCTAACGAATTGAGTTCAGCGACTCTCATTTTCTTTTTTTTTCTCACACTACAACCTCAAATGGTTTGTTTTGCCATTATATTTATTTTCCATAAACCGAGTTTTTCCTACCTTTTGTATTTTTTCAACAACTTGCCACGAATCGTTATTTCCAAAGTACTTTTTTTAAACTAATTCATTTACCTGAATTATCCCGTTGAAAAACGAGACAGTTTTTTTTCAATATGAAGTTATTTTGCGCCGCACAGCCTGTACTACAATGATTTATTACGACTTTCATTTCGGTCAAATCGATGTCGACGAGTGTTTATTTAATTATTATATGAATATATGTATCACACACTACTGTAAAAATAATGCAAATAGTGTCTGGAATAATATCAGTAATTATTGCCCAAATATCTATATATTCAATACCACATTTTAGTAATTATGTATGAAAAATGTGAAAAAAATGACAAATTTGTCATTCAGTTGCTATTTCACGAAAACAATATTTCAACTATCTTCGCCGGATACTACTACTACTACTACTGTATTTTAATGTTGTTAGATAATTGCAACATTTCCATGTGAAATAAAAAAAAACAATGTATTTTTGAACTAAAACATTCCGTCCACGTGAACTATCAGGCCTTAGTGCTTTTCAAGAAATTGAAAAAATACGGTTACAAGATGAAGCTAGCCTTCTAAGGGAGAAAGTGCCACAAAGCTGAATATAAAAAAAGCCTCTAGAAGAAAATAAAAATGATACTGTTTTGAGTGTAAAGAGAAAGACGGATTATAATATTTGAATGAAAGCAGAAAAGAGAACGAAAATGCGACATTATTATGACTCCCGGAACATAGAGACGCTAAAAAACTGGCTGAGATGTGTATGATTTTGTTGCGCGTTATAGGGTTTATTTGTAGTTCAGTTACTGAATAAGAGGACTATTTGTGTCACACGTCTGTGATATTCTTATTCTAGAATTAGAGAGAAGTATTTTTTAAGTTTTGTATTAATAATGTGACTAATTAGATACCATGTAAGAGTTTCTTTTTTTTAGAAATTTTAATTATTTCCCTCGAAATGTTATTACTCTTTTTTATGTTACATAATTAAAGACTATAGTGTCGTACAAGTGCCTACATTAATACAAAAAACCTTGAAATTAATTATTATGTTTTCATTAAAATTGTGTTGCCTATGTCAATCCCTATAGTTAAACTGCCGTAAGCTTGACCCTCCTGATGGTTTGGGGGACGCGGGGCGGGGGTGCATTCAACCAATTAGCTAGTGCGTCGCTGTCCGCCGGCAGTGACTGACATGAAAGCATGGCTGTACGTGTTATTTTTCTTAAGACTGCTACACACGGTATTATTTTGCAAACATGCTAAAATTCTAATAAAGAATATTTATGATTTTACTTAATTTTTTTAATTGTATCTGAATATAATTTACATGATGAAGATAAGGTGATTTTATTAAAATTATTTTACAGTTTTAAATTTTACAATTAATCATAAAACTTACAATACACTGACATTATAATACATGGAAATAAGTTCGATTTTTATTACATCGTGTGTAGATTAAATCTCAAACAAATAAATCTGAAGATATCCAGTTAGTACATCGTGTCATGTATAGCCGAGCGCATCACCCGCCCCGCGTCCCGCAAACCATCAGGAGGGCCAAGCTTACGGCGGTTTAACTATAGTAAATCTGTCAGTTCCTAGAACACGGGTTAGACCGAAAATCTTATTATTTCTTAAAATAAATAAGTGAATTACTGGCCTGTTTAGGTATGATATAACAAGAGTGTCGGTCATAATAAACACTAATTAGTATTTCTTTTCACTGCAAAAATACTTCGGACAAAAAATTGCTCGAATAGTTAACAGAAAATCATGGAATCACCCATATAGAAATGTATATATTTAACAACATTTAAGTATGTTAATCAGTCTGGTTACCATAGTACAGGATCTGCTGTACCGTGTATGAGTGTGTAAGGTTATTTAAAGAAAAGATTGCAGGTAGGTATCGGACTTTCTTGACGTGTTGCTGACCACATCAATGTTTTTTGAAAACAATTACTTGCTACAGAAGAACTAAGCAAAGCCTGTGCTATGGTAACCAGACTGCTGATTAACATACTTATATATTTCTAAACACACCCATATTACAGATAAATTACACCCAGACTCAGAACAAATGATCGTGCTCATCAAGCAATTAATTGTGGGTATATTAATATTTTTTTAATACTACATATGACAATATCCGTATAAAGGTTGTCTGTAAGAGATCGCCTTGAGCGATAAGACCGCCTATTGTTATACCGAAATGTAGTCTCCTGTCCGTGTGCGTAGCTAAAAGAATACCCCTGGGTTCTTTTAACTTTGATAACAAACATGCAAAGAATTGCTTAGCAAACATTTTTTTTATGCAAATGCTTTGTCACAAAACACCTCTACGAGTTCTCAGGACTCACACAGGAGGACACGTGCAAGCAATCTTTTGTTTGCACGTGTCCGTGTGCGTGGGTAAAAGAATACCCCCAGGTTCTTTTTAACTTTAATAACAAACATGAAAATAATTGCGTAACAAACATTTTTTTATCCAAATGCTTTGTAATTCAATTTATTACTTTCTTGTACATATATCTCTGTAACCCAATACAAATATCTAACAAATATTTTGAAAAATAAAACAAGGTCAATACATGATTATATATTGAAAGAGTTATCCTCTAACTCCTAAAGGTAAAGGACACTTCCGTCATCAACTCGACAACATGAGATAAGGACTATCAAAAGCAAATGCCTATATACCTAGAGAAAGAAGCTAAAACACGATGTTAGTGCTGTAAAATTTGAGAGTTTCCCCTCTATTTCTCTGGGATTCCATCATCAGATTCTGGTTTGGTGATAATAGGGAATCGGGAATCGGAAGTATACCTTATCGATTACAAAAATAATTTGAAAATCGGTTCACAATTGACGGAGATATGGCGTAACAAACATACAAAAAAGGCAAGTCGAATTGAGAACGTCCTGTTTTGTGTTTTTGAAGTCGGTTAAAAAGTAGAAGTCAGTGTCGTGGATTCGGGGTGATAAAAGGTTTATAAAATAAAACATAAACATAACATAAAAAAGTTTATTCTTTGTAACTAAAAGTAACAAATTGCACAGTAGAATATGGTTGATAATGACTGCTATAGTTCATAACTGTGTTGCAGCCATTAACGCCCACCTCCGGAAGATAAGTTACAGGTTTCAAGTTTCATCATGCTTGCTGAATATAAACCAAATCAAAGTTATAAATTAATTTAACAATGTTATAAGAAGTGTGGGTCAGAATACGTAGAATTGTTAGTGTGTGGTGTTTGTGCGCGCGCGTGTGTGTGTGTTTATGTGTGTGTGTGCATATGTGTGTGCATATGTGTGTGTGTGTGTGTGTTCGTCTGTGCATGTGTGTGGTGTTTGAAAGAGCATATGTATGTGTACATGTGTGTGTCTTTAGGCCGGTGTTTCCAAAACTCATCAATTTAAGATTGATCGAATTTCTCATTGAGGTCGTGTCAGGAGACGTTCGGTATCATTATAATTTAGGGCAAGCAACCACTGCGTTACTTTATGTTTACATTCACGAAATATACAAGGGTAGATACGCAACACCTTATTCACCTTGTTATATAATACGGGAGCCAAATAATAATAGTGCCTTTTGACAGCTCCAGTCTGATCAATTACTAGATGTGCCCCGCAGTTTCGCTCTTTGCCTATGTTGTGTTTTTTCAGACAAATCCTTGGATAATTTGAGTCCCTTACAATTGGTATTGATTTAGTATTTATTTCCGTATTCCAGCCTTCTTATGTGAAGTCGCCGTCAGCTGAAAGCACGGCGGGCACAGTAGTAACTGCTGGTACGGTGGCTACGGCAGGTGCCTCGTGGTCTCGTGCTTCCCATGTGCGTTACCCGGGTTCCGACACTGGTTCAGTCTCTGGCGAGTCCCGGTCATCCCAAAGGAATACCATACGTGATGTAAGTCCACATATAGAGATACAGCTGTCCCACATGCCTTTCAATTTAAACCATAAAACGTAGAGCTTTTCTCTATAAACAATGAATCTGAATAGTTAATTTGATTAGTCTTTATGTATTTTATGATGTAATGTGCGAATTCAACAAAGTAATGACAACAATGTAACAGAACAAAGTGACAAGTTAAATATTTACTGGAATTAAGACCTTCAATAAATGAAGCCACTACAATTGGAAATGAAAAACTACAAGAAGCCGCACATGACGTTCACGTTTATGACGTTTACGTTTATGTTAATGATAAATTGATTTCAGGATGGATTAGGTTGAGTTAGTTTTTCACTTTAAAGAACTTTAATATCAACGTTTTGCGGTATTTTCAAAATAAACCATAGACAACATTACGTGAGCTGCCATTTGCGTTTTGTTATACCACTTATAACAAATGAACGGCTAGACTGATGTTTTTTAATGATATTTTTTTTATTGATGAATATCATATTTTAATACTTATTATCCTATTCTGGACGACGACAAATCCAAAAACAAACATAAAAAAAATTGGTACAGCGATTCTTGAGTTATAAATGGTTACACCATTTATAAGTCAATAATCTTAAAATTAGATGCTCTTTAGTTTTTTGTCTTTATAATTTATTACTAACATTTTATTAAATAAATAGACAACCATTACCTGGGGATTCGCTCACGATGATTTTGTTTTGTTCAAGCCAATTTTTTTTCTGGATGATTGATAGATACACTATATAATTTTCTGTATCCCTAACAAGTGTTGTGTGTCCACATATGAAATCCTTACTTGCGAAAATGTGTATTTCCTACTACATCTATCAAATGACATAACGCTTTAGGTTTCGTGGGAAATATTTTGACAAATTCGGAAGTTCCAAAGTTAAACGACATATTTTAGATTATAAATACTCAGTACAATATGAAATCTGGAAAACAACCAACTTTTAACATAATTACGAAAAAAATATCCTGCCGTTGTAGGTGAGATCCAAGTATCCAGAGTATTATACATCACATCATTTACGTCTAACAATGACTGTCAACGTTGATGGCGTAGTTGAAGTGCACAGTACACACAACGTCGAACAAATGTTGCCATTTTATGAGCGTGGAATATAAGAATTTCACACACAAAATATCAACAAGCAACAACCATGGTGCCATATCAAGTGTCAAATTATTTAGTTCCTTACATAATGATTTCAGTATAATTTAAACATTTGTTGTAACTAATGATTTTATCAGGACCAAAAGGAAAAACACAGAAATGAAAAAAAAAATACTAATATCGATACGTAGTAAAATGAATCGAAATTACATCAAATTACATCTTAGATTACATCTTATAAAATTTAAACAGAAATTGACAAAAAAAAACAAAGCCTTAATACAACATAATAAAGCAAAAATCTTAATAAATTACAATAGAGACTCGTACTTCCGTTCCATTAAATCCTCGAGGTAATATTCTTTCTGGTGCAGACGCATAAGAATACAGAATCAGCTCCAGCGCCTCAGCATGGCATGGGGGCCCAGTATTTGGATCCTGCGCCTTACGTGAGCGCTGTTGGAGTACCAGCAGCCTTGCCATTGTCTATACCGCCGCTGCCCATCGTGGTTTCACCCGATCAAGCTCAGTTGCAGGTTAGTTTCGCGAAGATTGCCAAGGTATCCATTTCTCGAATTTATAACAATATCGCACAATATTTTTCAATACATTTTTTAGTACTTTTGAGCTAGTTAAAGTAGTACATCCCACTGAGCATTGCTTTCAATGCGTCCTGTTGCATGATGTAAATTAGTGTTTGTGGTAGGAGCAGTTGCAACGGAAACATGAGGAATTACAGCAAATGATAGTCAGACAGCAGGAAGAACTGCGGCAGGTAAAGGAACAACTACTACTAGCACGGCTTGGCATCCTCCAGCCTATTATCAATGTGAGTATTCGATTTCGTCTGCAATTTATTATTTATTGTATGTATGTCATCACCGTTCGCTTACTGCGCTTTTATACGAACTATTTGCATGTATTCACAGAATGTTAATTTTCAATTCCGTAAATGCTTACTTATTTTGTTTAATTGTAACTGAATATTAAATAAATTAAAGTACGTATACAGAGGACTCAAGTGAAGAATCGAGGGTATATCATCTTTCATTTCTTCATTGGTCTAAGTATAGATTTAAATTTCAACCATTTTAATGTTATTGCAAATACAATAAAATGCAAGTATTTATTTAATATATCGTTTGATTTAAATAATAAAGTGGTAGAACATGTTCTGGTCAGGGACTCGATTGCATTTATAGTTATGATAATACAGAATCGTGTTTTATAATAATATGTACCAGCTATTATACTCGCTTCGGCTTCGTAAATAATTGACACAGCGTACGATAGTAAAGCTCTCCAACAACTTCTAAGCTCACCGAGATATTGATTTATTTGTGTAAAATTTAAAGTAATAAAAAGATTTAAATGAATACATAAGTTATAACACCCCGTCGTTTTTAAAATATCTAAAGATTAACGTTTAAAATAGCCCAAACTTTCTTAAAAGCAAGATACCAAGACATATTATATTTGGTACCCTCCGCAACAACAACTTTTCTTAAATGAATAGATATATAATTATAAAGAGAAGAGGAAGACAGTAAGTTTAATAGTACGGGAAATATTGTTTATGATTTTCACTTATTTTTTATTAATAATTTGGTACCGTTGTAGCGTATTTTTTTTTTCTGAAATAAATTTAAAGCAATGTCTGGGCAACAGGGTTATTACAAAATTACAAATTAAAATGTGAAATGTACAGCAAAAATAATGTACAAAGAGCGATCTTATTGTTTGGAGCAATCTCTTCCAGGCAACTTTGTATAGATTGGAATCAGTTTAAAATGGTGGCATGCAAGTTCAAGCATTGTCCTCATGACTATATGTCCAAGGTTATTTGATCTTGTTAAAATATTGCTCAAACTTATTGTCAAACATTTTCTCGTCAGTAATAAAAATGTCCGTGTGGTGACGGATAAAGAATACGGAATGTCTCCACCCCTATTCATCCCGTGGGTGTCGTAAGAGCCGACCAAGGGAATAAACTACGCAGGACAACAGCAATGCAAAGAGAAGTAGAAGTTGAAACAAAAGAAAAAAGTACCAACCCGTCGGGCCAGCGTGGTTAGTAGGCCAACCCTCCTTTGTCGATGAAATAAAAATTAAAAAAAAAACACAATAAATATTATTAAGAAGTAGTTTTGATTTTACCATCCTATTGATTTTTCAATTTGTAAAATAATACTAGTGCGTCTTTTAAAGGCTGCAAGTCCTAAATCATCTTTTCAAATACGCGACATGGTTCTAGGTAGGTAGGTGGTATATTATCTCCTCTTTTATTATCAATATTTATAAATCTCATCACACAACATTTTCAGTGTGCGTATCACCTATATGCTGATGATCTGCAGCTGTATTAATAGGCAAGGGTGGAGGACGTGGCGCAGGCCGTTGACGAAGTTAACAAAACCCTAGAATGCATAAATCCCTGGTCGATGAAAATTAGATTGTCGGGAAACCCAACCAAATGCCAGGCTATCATTGTATTCTTAATAACTGCATTCGGTACATTTTCAACCTCCGCAAGTATGAACGTGTCTGCTCCACGTTCCCAACTGAATTGATTACCCATTCGCCTGCGCCGCTATCAGTGATCGCTTTTACCGTGTGAGAAACATGCTTCGGCACGAATGTGCCGGCTCGACCGGAGTGATACCACGGCCTCCCTGAAAACCGGTTTTCAGCAATTCTTTCGTTGCTTTTCACTGAGTGAGTGAGGTTACCGGAGCCCAAATCCCCTCTCACGCCCTCTAAGATATCCTATAGACTAATCATAATAATAATATAATTATACTCCATCTAATCTAAGAGGTACCGTTTCACGTTTCATACTTTTTACGAATAGGCGTAACTCACACAATTTCAATAACCTTTTCCGTAAAACCATGGAGGTAAGTAGCTATTTTTTATTTTGTCGCAAGATATACAATTCTTATTGGCTAAATTTAAATCTTTGAAATAAAGCAAAATAACCAACTTACACACATTATATGTTTTTTGGAAACTTCATTTCAAAGTCACGTAGTTAGGTCCTTTACCGTAGTGGTGCGGATCTTCAAATTCACTTGAATACCTACGAGTAATGATGATGAACGATGTAGGAAAAATCGAAATTATAAACAACGAGTAATTTTTAGTCCAAGCGTCTTAAAGTGGTATACTTACAATTCATCTGTCATCTAAATCGCAACAAAAACGCGTAATTAAAATTTAAAGAATGTAAGTTAATGTAATTTTAAATAAATCTTTGTAGTCAAAAATCGCTCGTGTCCAAGTTTAGTGTATACTAAGATTTACTAGTAAAACATATAATGTGCCATTACACGGGCATTTATAGTAACATACATAAATCTGTAAAACTGTAATCGATCAGTACATTCTAAGAAATGATATCGAATTCTGTTAAGAATCAGAAATTTTAGTAATCTGTTTCTTTGACCCCATCGCTATTCTTCAATCTGTCAGAACTGTCAAACGGTACCTGTTAGATTAGATGGACTATAATTTCTCCACACTAAATTAGTCTCCACATTTCACCCGTGCGAAGCCGAAGCGGGTCGCTAGTCTGTACAGGTAAATTAGATTGGAGACATTTTTGCGTTTGTAGTAGTGTAGTAGTGTTTGTAGCGTAAACTGGTTTATTCTGGTTTTGTGCGTGTTTCCACTTTCCACTATCAAGTGACGATTTTTTGCTTTAGATTGAAATATCTCGGAAACGGTGCGTCCTAGGCCAAAAATAACAAAAATTTTGACCCCCCGTAGACCTCCCGGAGTTTTAAAAACCTAGATGAAAGGAAAAAAAAAATAAAAAAAATTAAATATCGGTCTCTCCTCTTTGAAGTTTCACTTCTATCGTGTGTGAATCGCACACACACCTTTTTTTTTTATAAAGTCAAAACCTTTTTCTTTAAAATAAAAACTTGTTTTTATTGAAAACAAAAATCAGAGTGTTGCTAGGGATAAGTATAAAATTAAATAGTAATGTTAGGATATCGAAACATTTTTGTATAGGCCAGAACGATATAGCGGAAACGCGCTCTAAGATCTGAGTAATATACACACCACTACATATGCAAAAATTTATGTATGTAGTGTTGTGGTTTTTCTATTTTAGTTGATTAGTAAGGTCCTGTGCTGCGTACAAGCGATGCCGCGTGACTTCCTGCTACAAAATTTAGTGTAGCGTGCGGACGAGTAGCGATGAGCCACTTTTAGCGACCGATCGACAGCAATTGACAATTTAGTTACCTATTTTCGATTAATACTAAACATACTTGTACAGTACAATTGTCAAAATCAAAAAAAAGGGAAAAGCCGAGAATTTCTAAGATTTGTAACGTCGTAAAAACGTAACATTTCTTATCCAATTAAATACGTTAGATAAGTTGTGTAGATGTGTGTTAATGTAGATAAAGATGCCGTATCATTAAAATTAATATTTTAGATAATATCAGGGATTTAAAATGCGTGGGCAAGGAGGCTATCGCGTCGGGCCGTATGTCAGTCCTGTAGTATAGTCTAATCATAATAATAATATTAATCCACACTGACACCACATTAGTATGTACATTGCACTCGTGTGAAGCCGGGCGGGTCGCTAGTCTAGTAATAAGATAGATAGCAATAAAGTTGCTCAACGCCTGGTTGCTATACTTTATATCAAGTCGCCGCGACCAAAGTCGCTCGACGTCGCTTACACGCTGAGCTCTAATGTAACCTATGTGCTAGTGTAACCTTTCGGTAGTGTAGAAATCTTGAGTGACAGAAACTCACGATTTCTACATTACCTAAAGGTTGACTGGAAGATTATGCCCTGGCATTAGGTCTGTAGTGCATAAAGTTATGTAAACAAAAATAAATTTATTTCCAGAGATATTTTTTTCCTTCACTACTTTGATCGCCTTTTTCGCACGAATATTGCGTCGATAGCCAGATCCTTATCTGTCACAAACAGAGGAGGTTTTATTGTGCCTATCAATAGCCTGGTCTACAAAGCGGATGGAGTTTAAAATATGCATTTAGCTCCATACCTACTTTTGTAATGCTGTCACAGCAATTCGGTTTCACTGTAATATAAGAAAAAATAATATCTTCGAAAGTGAAGTCATATAATCCAAAATAATATAGTGTCTCTAATTTTATATTTATTACTGTAACTCCACCTTTAAACACACTGTGCGTCGTGTAACTGACGTGTGACCCTTTAGCAGAAACTAGAATCCGCGTCAATATAATTCAACAACAAATGAAACACGCCATTTTTCATTAATTTAGGTAAACACTGAAAAGTGATTTTTATTTTCTTTCTTTCTACCGCGGTTGAACGACTGTTTTAATTGTGTTTATAGTGACTTTATAATGTATTTATATTGTATTTATTCAAATTATTATATGTATTGTTAAATAAACTGTTTCATAAGCTCCGATCTTTGACCGTATTTTATTTCGTACACAATATATGAGAAAATTAATTTACTTTTTTTTTTTTTTCGTAAATTAAAAATAATAGTTATTCTGCTATTCGGCACGGAGAGAAATCCAACAAACCAATGATCGTAAAAATCGGTTTAAACGACTGACTGACTTAAGTTATGTGTTACTGGTGGTTTTTGGCGGCTTTCATGACACCAGTAATCTTTTTCCTGAAAAGCGCTTTTCCATTGGATGTTTAGTTATTAATTTATTTTAATTCATATAAAATTGTACCATACCCACCTTTCTAACGTTTGTAAAAATAATGATCAGAAATGCTAGTCATCTACCCTATTGTGTCAAAGAATCTAGTCACATGAGCCATTCTTATAAATATTTATATAGTATATTATTTATATTATTTTTCGAAATTGTCACATTTACATACTTTTCTAAATAATGTCATTTGATTTGCGAAACTAATTAAGATTTTCTATTTGATGTTGTGCTATACATTGTTTGTATGCTATCCTAAATTGACCATGATTTCATTTAAATCATCACTCACTATTGATGATCATGTATTTTACTTATGAAAAGTGGCTCAGTGATAAGAATTTTGAGTAACCAGTCATAAATTTGTAGGTTCAAGGTCCATACGTGCATCCAGAGGATATACAAGAGAACCAACGGCTACCGGCACAAATAGTTTACGAGGGGGGCACGCCTAGGGCGGCCATCACCGGTTTTCCACCTCAGCATCCGCCACATTCGACCAACCATCATCAACATATGCCTCAGTAATAGAACAAACACTTGAAATGGTTTGTAAGCTGAGTCATCCCTATCGTTTATAGATAAATAGTTATACTTACACTTGCCAATTTGTCTTCTATGAAGTAATGATAAGTGACGTTGCAGCTTGTAATGCCATATTGTAATATTAATTTGCTTCTAATGAGGCTCTTTTACCACTATATATCAATATACAAAACGCCGGTCGGTTCCATTATTGACCATTATCTTATTGATATTTTATTATAATTCGTTGTGAATTATTTTACAGAGTTCTGTAAAACAACTTTTATGCTGTTTTAATATTATATTATGTAATAGACGTTTTACTTAGAGTAATTCTCGTTTATTTCTTTTATTGTAAGGCTGTGCAACTTCTAACAAATAAGTTAGTTTAATAATATGTGTTTTAAGAAGTAAAGATAAATTTTCATTATCGTTTTTATATCACTGTCGATCGGATTGTTTTATTAAAATTCATGTATATAAAACTATTACTTAGTTTATAATGGTAATGAAGTAGCCAAAGGACCATGTTATAATTTAATACACTAGGGTTTTTTTCGCAGTTAACGTGCCATCTATAGGTATTTATAATATTTTGAAGATATTGCAAAGAATTTTGTAAATTATATAGTGTTATTTTGAGACTTCCTCAGTTATCACTTTTGACTTTTGTGTTATATTGAGACCGTAACGTCTCTTGTTGAATGTCTTCTGGTATATTTACAAAGTTAGAGTAAGTAAGATTGTAAATTTTATTTGAAATTGTTTTAGATAAATTATTCCAGTTGGGTTTTTTACGTTATTATTGATAGATTTTGTTGAAAGAAATTAATTATTAACAATTAAAATTAACAGAAGAAATTAATTCTAAGTAAACTTTGTCTAAGTTAACTTAGAATTAATTTCTTCTGTTAATATGTATTAATTCAATATAATTTAATTATTGTTATGGTTTCTGTCGTTCATTTGAATATTCATATTTTATTTGAGTATAATATATTAGGATTTATCATAAAATAAATATGGCTATTTAGGCAGTACGTAAGACGATCATTAATATTATATCGAGTACATTATGTTTTTCCTTATCTAACGGCAGTTAAAAATTATTTAAGAACCAAGGTTTAAGGTTACAATAGTAATGGCAAACAAGCTCCTCATGCCGAATGTGGTACGGTTTTATAATATATACATATGTTATATAATTATAACAGTACGCGTAACCAACTGTGCGCCGCGGTTTCACATGTGTATAATTAAAGAAAATGTTTAATAGGGATAAAACTATTAGAAATTATAAGTATTAGAATATATTGGTTTTCACCATTCCGAATAGGTCAACTTACAAATGCTGCGATATTTTCTCTTATCTATATCAAGTTGCTTACAAGTTGTACAAGGTATAAACCATCCTTTTTTAAAGTAAAATTCTACTTTATTTAAAGGAAAAAAAGAACTACAAATCAGTGTATACGAACTATGCTATAGTTGCAAATTTAATATAGTTGATGGTCGCAGGTTGCACAATAAAATAATTATTTAATTGATATTAGACGTGTAACATAGAACTACAAACATATGTATGTTTTTAGTTACCTGACGTTTCTATTGAAAAGAACCGGTCAGTAGACTCCGTCAAGTCCACCTGGCCGGTATAATCCCGAATCACTAATTTATTTATTACAGACGCTCGTAAATTATCATCATCAGCTTATCGCCGTCCACTTATCCTCTCCCAAGGAGCGCTTGTTTTCAAATTATAAATATACAACATTTAAAAAAATGTAAACAGTGAGAAACGTTGTAATATTATTACCTGGACCTTTAAAAGGCAGGCTTATTTATATTATTTTTTCCTTCAAACCTTCAAGAAAAGAGCGTACTCCTTCCTAAAAGGACGGCAACGCGTTTGTAACTCCTGATTTACAGACGTTCATGGGCGGCGATGGTCACTTTCCATCAGGTGACCCGTCTGCTCGTCCGCCTCCTCTAACATAAAAAATATATATGTTACGAGTCTAAAATGTGCAAAAGCCGAAAAGGTATAAAAACAATTAGGTATTAAATAATAAATGATGTTTATTTCTGTAAGTAAATCTATTCAGGTATTTTTACAAGTTGGATCCGTTTAATACCACTACTATTGTATTCATAGACCGAAGCCGAGTGTTGAATTATTTTAAGTTTCCGTTATCTCCTTAACTATGCGTTCAAGTAACATGCTCCTAAACTCAGTTTATTCTCTAAAAATTGCCTTATTGATGAGGCAACTTTCTCTTTTAATGATAAATATACCAAATAATGCTCAAAAATCACTTTTTAATTGAACAATAATTGTCGTAAATTGGCGTATAGTGCTGCAGATTTTATTTCTGTAGAACATTGTGCTTACGTATTCCTTAACATTACGCCAGCGCCCGCAGATACAGCCATTCAGGAGCTAATTTTTTCTAAAAACTGATTTTTTTAAAAAATTTAAAAATTTAAGGGATTTTCATTCACCTCTCAACTATAGAAGTGAATCTATGCCCATTTCTCACGAATCTCGCTATCATAAACAAAAAGATTTTTTCAATATTTGCATGTTAGTTCGAGAGGTTAGCGCCTTTATTTAAACAAAGTTGTCAGCTTTATTATTTTAGTATAGATTGCCAATTATGTAGCTGGATTACATTCAGTTATGTTTTTAAATCATAAATAATATAAGTAGAAAGTACCCAATAAATATATTATTTAGGGTGGTTATAGACGGTGGAGTAGTTGGAGCGGGCAGAGACGCGGATTATTTGCGTTAGTAGTATGCACAAGTTACTTACTTGTTTAGTCGATATAATGTACTTGCGCGGGTTACATGTATGGGTCTTGCTCATTTCAGATTTAGAACAGTTCAGTACCAAGTTGTTTCTAAAGGGTGTAATTAGCTGGAGCAAGTAATAGCGTTAAAATGTCTCGACGAACGAGAATTATTATTGAATCATTTGTTAAAAATATTATTCTACTGGAGTTACCTACGCGGCGGTGGCTCGCGCTGGTACATGCTCGAATCACTGGACCCGCTTAGTCCTTGTCGCGAAGTATATAACCTGCGCAAGTGCCTCAACATGCATCGTGTACAAGCACCCTTAACTACAAACTGTTGTTTATATTGTAGACTAAGCAGCGCACAGTAATTCGGTTTGTGGAACTCTTTTAGTATTAATATCGCAATTAAGTTTGTGTACAGATTTTTAGATTTAATGTAAATTTTATATTAGTTGTCATCGTCTATAATGAACTTCATTTTGTGACCTAGGTGTTTAAATATAGTCAACTGTAAAAGTTCCATTGAACTTTTACAGGAATTATTGGATATTAGAGTTGACGTTAACATTTAAACGTTTGAATATACATTATCCATAAATGAATAGTACTTCATAATAATTAATTCGATAGAGGAATTGTAAACTCGAGGTAAAAGATGAATATATAAGTCAACTATGGCAACTGGCTCCGATCCAATAATTTCTTCACAACACCGACTAATTGTACTACTAAAACTTGTTTTCAATAGCTTCATTTTCTTAAAAAAACAACAAATTTACTTTGTCTTGTGTACCAATTTTAATGTGAGATTTAAGTTATTTACACGTAGCACGTTGACGTTGAAAGAACGAATAAGATATACGTTTTAAGATGCCTTCACAATCGCACAAAGAAGTGTAGAGTCTGACTTTACATCGGTTCCGATGGAAAGTTATAAACCATAAGATATCTCATAATTAATTTGTTTATTAACCTGATAAATGTATTTTTACGAATCGCAAGTATAGATGTAGTTCCTGAGAATATTCTACTTTACTTACTTTTTTCATGTCTGTTTTCAGTTAAATTTTCATTAAATAAATTTATAACGTGAACTACTATTCAACCGAAAGCAAAATATACGATGATCACTAATATATTTATGAGGGTTTTTTTTATTTGGTACATTCAGTTGCGGTGTATTTTTTTATTATTGAATAATTTTGTATAAAACGCCAACTTTTTAGTCTACCTACATAATGAAACATCTAAATGCCTTAATATCATCATCGCAATATATTACCTTAATATTAGCAAACTTACAGTAGGGGAGGCCGAGAAGGGATTTCGGGATTTACTCGAGCGTGTCAGATTAACATAAGAGGAATACACCCAGTTGAGTACCTCCACCATACATGAGCCCTGCACATAGGGGGGGGGGGGGCATCATATTAGTTTGAAAAACAATCGATGACCAGAAATACTCGAGCGTGTAAGATTAAGGTTAGTCGAGTCAATTACATACCCATTGTGTGTATTTAAAAAAATCTACTATTTGAGCGTGACATACACGGCGATTTTTTAGGCGTTTTGGAAACGAAACATTTTAATTTGGAATCATCTATAGTACCAATAAAAATGATGAAATCAATTGTAATGTTGTCTAAAAAAAAGTTTCAGTTTTAATATTCATTTTTACTCGATCGACTTGGAAAGTAGTAATGGACTGATCATTCATTCATTATCTTATATGAATGAAACACGTCCGTGGGCGTTTCGGCGGCCGCTGCGCACCGCTGAGCACCGCTGACCACCGCTGACGCTAACAGCAGCTGATAAAAGTATACCTATAGGCGCGAGCTAGCGAGTACTCACGTAGATAGACTCCAATTTGTCCTTCATACTTTACACGGGCTTAGGATCGTCGGAAATACTTATTTTATTTAAACTTCTTTTCGATTATTAACCACGATTGTTCTTTTCACAACAAATCAATTTATCAATGGACTGTAGTATAAATATTTCAAGCGTATTTAAAAAATCGGAGCTATCTACAGAATAATTAACTTACACTTACCTATTTACACTTCTCTGTATCGAAGCATCTGCTCAAATGGAGTCCGCTGCATTCAATACACAAACGTCCACGTTTAATGCAATTGTTTTTAATTTTCTTAATGTGTCTCTATCACTTTTCACTTTATCAAAAGCGTCCACTATCG